ACTACTATTTGATGCGCAACAATGAACAAGCGAAGGCTACAGACCGACGTACTAACCAGGGTTGTCAAATTGTTTAAAATTAAATTTATTAAAATTGTATTATTTTTATATAATTAAAATATTATAAAAAAAAAACAAAAGTAAATTGAACTGCAGAAGTTCACAATGATTTTAAGTTCACGACCCTTATTATAATGTGAAAGAGACTTGTTACTTCTGAGGCGCTACTTTAACTATTTAACCAATTGTTATGAAATTTGCTATACACATAGTGATTAGGATAGAGAAGTATACAGGCTACTATTTTTTTTATTACAGTTATGCGAAATAGATTTCACATGCAGTCAATTTTATATAATAGACAATACAACTCTGTCGCGAAAGCCTACGTCAATATTTTTTTTTAAATATACTATTCGCATGATGGGACATCCCTAAGCTTAATACGTGTCATATTTGTATGCTACATTTACGTTCACATTGTGTCTACGGAAATCTATATTAGCTATACTGTTTATTAGTATACTCGTAGAAACGATCAACAATGTGTAAAATGAAAAGCAGAACTGTATAGTTTCTTATTGTATTGAAACATACAGAATGATCGTTGAAATTTCGGTTCTATTTGAAATATTATTTCAAAATGTTTCGTTAGTATTGAAATAACTAATAATGTGTGAAATGAAACGCAAAACTTCTTTATAGTCTATTATTGTATTGAGAAATACCGAATGAACCGATGATCGTTGAGATTCTAATTCTATTTGAAAAGTTATTTCAAATATTTTTTTAGTATAAAAACGATTAACAATGTGTGAAATGAAAGGCAGAACTCCTATATTGCATATTATTATATTGAGACATACTGAATTAACTGTGATTGTTGAGATTCTGATTCTACTTTAAATATTATTTCAGAATTTTTCCTTAGTATAAAAACAGTCAACAACGTGCGAAATAAAACTCAGAGCTCACCATAATCTAGCGTTAATCGAAACTTTTGTTCTATTTATAACATTATATTTATTACTAACTTACTTTTTTTTTATTTATTTATTGTACAATAATAATATATAAAAACGTGACAAATATGACAGAGATAAGCAAATGTACAAAGGTGAGCTTAACTCTCAAACGGAGGTTTAAGTTTCTTCAGGATCGGCAACGCGCGCGTAATACCCCTCGTATTGCGTATTATATGCAAGCGTTCATAGGCTACGGTAACCGTTTACCATCGGGTGGGCCGTATACTTGTTTGCCACCTCAGTGGTATAAAAAAGAGATCTTATTGAAAATAACACATGTTATTTTAAGTATCTGAAGTAAATTATGAGTTTATTATGACGTTATATAAAATAAAAATAATTGATTACGTTGTATTTGACCTATTTTATACCTCTACGGTTTTAATATACATAGAGGGCTGAGCAAATATATTTACACTTGATATCAAATAAAATATCACATCTTGGAACCAAACTCGCGTAAAAGCCGAAATTATATCCTTGACAGACGAATGGAGGTATTTAATGGCTTGTATGTACGGTATTTGCTGTGTGGGATCGGTATAGAATAGGCTACCCCTTCTTTTGCTGTGGGTGTAATAAGAGGCGACTAAGGAAGTGTGGGAGATGGGCAGCAGCGTCCCTCTTAAAACATCTCCAAAGCCTAACTACAGTTACTAATCCGCCTACCAAACGTGGCAACTAGTAACATAACTCCCCAAGGGGGAGGCTTATGTTCAGCAATGGATAGTTAAAGGCTGATATGACGATGAGGATGATACACGGTATATTGTATAAAAAATACAAGCAATATACGAAATTTGTTTACAAAAACCTGTATAAGTAGTTAAAATTATTAAATGTGTAATTAAAATAAAACTAGAACTTTGCCTGTACAAATTTATACATTTATATTTGATGGCAAATAATATATTGTATCAATATATAAAGTTCATATAATTCTGTAAGCTAGTAAGTTTCTTGGCGCTAAAAATTTGTGAATGAAATTATCTGTGTTTCTACATGGGTAAAAAACAAAATAAAGTTACTTAATCTATTTAAAAAAAAACCTTGCAACTATATATGAGTAATTAATAAAATCCGATGGAATCTACGTAAGAAGTGATCAAAAATATTTACTTTTAATATTAAATATCGTATCATTGGATCAAGATCGCGTAAAATTCATAATCATGTACTTGGCGGCAAAATGAATGAATGGAGTTATCTGTGGTCTACATGGGTGGTAAGTTTTATGACAAAATCAAGTGATACTACGTAATCTATCTACAAAGATCTATGAAACGATATCACAACCTGATAATATCTATGTTATGAAATTAATCAGCGGTCTATGAAGATATCAAAATAAAAGAACGCATTATTGAATATATTAAGTTTACGTAAAAAAAAATCATATCTTTGGTGGCAAAATGAGCGATAGAAATTACCTATTGTTCTACATGAACGAAATGTATTATTGTGTGCAAAGATTTTTTTGGATTGCGTTAAATTTACACTTGATATCAAATTAAATATTGTAATACTGATTTAAGTTCGCGTAAAACCATAATTGTATCTTTAGTAGTAAAATAAATGAATGAAGAATTTATTGTCTACATGGGTGGTACATTTTATGAGAAAACAAGTAAAGTGCCTAGAAAAATCAATGTGACTGATAGAATTTTGTGCTGCGATAAAATTACGGTAATTAGATTAATCAGAGGGCTGTGTAAATGTAATGGATGAATGCCTCCAACACGGTGTAATAAATAACGAGTACGTAACGAATACTGGAGATAAGAATTCATATGTAAATGTCAACTTCTATCCTGTAACAATAGAGCAGTGGTTTGGGACACGTGCTGGGCAGAAAAATGTGAGTTGTATATTAAAAATCACGGTTTTGAATCCAATAAATTTCCATCAGTTATTTAATTCAAAATTAAAATATTGGTAATTCAGATTTAATTGAAAAATAATTGGACTAACTATAATGTATTTTTTTCAAGAATATTCGGTTTTTTTCGAGGTCATCTGGAATTTAATGGAATTGAAAAAATAAACGTAAATAAATTCCTTTTTATTAAATATTATCGTAATCGATAAATAATAGTATATTTAATTTATAGAATCAATTTAGTATAAAAAAGAATATTATAATTTGTGAACAAAAATACTGAAAAACTATGTCAGGTTTTTAAGGAAAAGTATATAAAATAAAGTTGTTTTAAAGTTTTATGACGGAAAAAAGTTAGTTTTAATTAATTCCACCATCAAAATACTACATTTCTGGCAATGAATAAAATAATAAATAAATAAATATTTCGTGTATTTATATAGAATGTCAGTACCAGTTAAATTATAATTTCAGAAAGTTAATTGTGGCAATCTGTATTTGGAATATGAATATTGACATAACTGCCAAAATTGACATTGATTCAGGTTATTTCAGGAATGTAATATTAATATACCAAAACCTAGATCAATATATCAAATATATTACATATTATATAAATATATATAACGCAGTCGTTATAAAACATTGTTTGTATTTAAGTGAATATTTAACTAAAATTAAAATGACAATTAATAGAGTGAGACGGTATTTCACGTCGAGAGACCGCTTGAAATTGTATAAAGCTCAAGTCAGGCTACATATGGAATACTGTTCTTACCTATGATCTAGAGCGCCACAGTACCAGCTCTTTCCGTTAGACCGCATTCAAAATCAGGAGGCTCGAATTAAAGATGATCAGCGCCTTACTGTTCGACTCGACCCACTGAAACTGCGTAGAGATTTTGCATCTCTGCGCATCTTTTACCGAATTTATCATGGGGAGTGCTCTGAGGAATTGTTCGGATTGATACCTGCTGCTGATTTTCACCACCCTCAGTTAAGCTTTGGTGATGTTTTAAAAGGAACACTGCTGCCCATCCCTCGTCCATTTAGTTTCCTTAGTCGCTTCTTACGACATCCACAGGGAAGGAAGAGGTGGCCCAACTATACCAAGATCACATGACAAGAACTGTTTGAGAAGCTTATAAAAATATAATCAGAATGTAGGAATTTAATTAAGAATTTAAGTTCTGTGCTTACATTCATATTTTCAAAGGGATTTTTATTAAAGCCACTTATTAATTTGTTATAGGATGGTCCGAGCGAGTTCCTTGTTGGCTAGCTGCGTGCTCTTCGCGCTGCTTCTAGTCCTACCCGCAGCGGCTTACCCCAGGTAGTAGTACCTTACCTGTTAAGTGAATTTAAAAGGCCTTTTTAAAAGGCCGGCAGCACATTCGTAATTCCTCTGGTGTCGCGAGTGCTCACGAACGGCGGTAGTCACTAGTAAGTAAGCACGTAAGCTGTATGCTCATTTACCCTCGTGTGAAAAAAAAAGATCTGGAGAGAGATTTCATTTTATGCAATTTGAAATAGCGACGAGCTGATAGCTGGCATCATGGAAAATAGTAACTGTCATCTATAGATATGAACAGCAAAATGGATGTCACAAAGTATAATGTGCTACCCATGGTACTCCTCATGAGTTAAGTTTAGGACTAAGATTTTTTATTACTCCATACCTTGTAATTTCAGTGCCATATCCCTTTCTTCAAATCCTTCAAATCTTAGAGAGAAATAATACACACACACATATATAACCACGCCTGACTCTTGTTATATCATTGCTTCATCCACTTCCATAACTCCTCACAAGCATGGATTCACAATTCTTCCGAATTCAAAATTTTGCAAGCAAAACCCTTGATTCTGATACAATAGGTTAATCTCAGTAACCGCAATAGCTGTATCCAAGCATCCTTTTTTTTCTACATTATCTTTCGTTATTCTTTCATCTGACATTTTTCCACACGCCTGACCCTCCGTAGACACTATAACAATAAACAATACTGCAAATAATAAAAATGTATATTTATTTCACTTCAGTTCAAACAACTACTACCGTGACGAGGGTACGTATGAACCAGAAGAAATCATGGACATGATGAACCGCCTCAGAAACCTCATTCAGATGGAACGAAAAATGGAAAAGTAAGTGTCACACTAAATATTTATTCTCGTGTCTCTATTAGTTGATTATAATCATTATGAATTCATTCTGAAATAATCAAAAATATATAATAAATACAATATAAATTTATTGGTATTAAAAATATCATTTTGATCTTACGAAATATTGATAAACTGTTTGATCTTAAAAGCTAAGTAAAAATAGAACATTTTTCGAAGTTATCGAATTCTTATAAAGTATATTACTACATGATAAAATTTAAATAATCATCAAAATATATCATTTAATTAAACTTAGATCTATTTTTGTTAAATAGCTAAATGCAATTAAAAATAAATTAGAATGTGTACTATTTCATCAGTAATAGGAACATCTCAATCTCTTTAAAATCATGTATCCAGTGATGACAAAATGATTTCATTTTTTGCAATCTACCCTAAGAACTCTTTTGATTGTTTCAAAAGGAATAGAAACTTCATGTGGTTTTGCATGACTTTTGATTAATAATTTCCCTGTTCCACTAAGTTCAATTATACAGTTGATCACTTATTGGAACAGCAAAATTAAAAAGTTTAAAAAATTGTGTGTTCTATAATTATTTGTGTTTCAGATACATTTTTTATACACTTATTAATTCCTAGTACTCATATTTTATATGCCATAGTATTGTCCAAATATTTATAATTAACTTAGAACATATTCCAAGTTCACAGTAACTTTTGTTTTTACTGTATTTTATTTGCAACATTTTTGTATAGCATCTAACAATCTAAGTTGTTTATAAATATTATTAGTATATTCTTGTCTTAGATTGGGCTCAGATATTTCCTTGTTCCATTTGTGATGCTAATGGTTTTCAATTTATTCTCCGTCGTTTCCTCAAGATAACAAACTACTCATATCTAATTTAACCTGCTATATCTTACTTATTCATAATTTACCAACTTTAAGTCTTTTATTCTCAAAGGATGCATTCGTAGATTCTATATTTCAAAGTGATATTAATTTTTCAAGAAAATAATTTCAAATGTGAAATGCTGTTTGAACTTTTCATGAAATATCCTTAATACCTATTCGGAAATCAAATGAATTTAAAATGGAAATATGTTTGTTTCTTTAAAAACAATTACATATTTAAATATTATTTGAGGAAGGATTACTTATGTGTTGTAAAAATATATTTCTTGACGATATACCTACTTAGTAGAATTTATAATAACTTTTTAGAAAACACTTCAGAATTTCGTATAAATTATATTATATTATGAAATTCGGTAACAAGATAAAATTTACTATACCTAAATTATGTTTGTTATTTTAAATATATGAATTCACATTATTATTAACTTCATTTACTTGTTATCTGTTTATGTAATATCTTTTGTCTTTTTTCAGCTTTAGAGATGGCATTTCTAGGTATGTCTTAACCGAAATATTTAAACACTTTTCAATAATTCATACTAATATTTTAGCTTAGCAATTAGTATATACATAATTCCGTATGAAATGAAATTTAAAATTTTCTCGAAATATCCGCAATAACTACAAATTTGAATATTATTTTAGGGTTACTTCTCTGTTATATTTTTTCCTTACGATATACCTACTTGGTATAATCAAACATAACTTTTTACAAAATATATCAGAATTTTTATCAAAATAGTTTATTTTATCAAACTCGGTAATAAGTTATAATTGACTACTATATGTAAATTATGTTTGTTATTTTGAGTATATGAATTTATATTATTATAAACTTCATTTACTTGTGATCTGTTTATGTAATATGTTTTGTCTCTTTTCAGCTTTAATGATGCCATTACTAGGTATGTCTTGATCGTAATATTTAAATGCTTCAAAATAATCCATACTAATATTTAGTTTAGCGATTAGTATATACATAATCATTAAATTGTTGGAATTTCTGTTAATAAATATAAAAATATAAACATATATATTTTATATATATATATATATATATATATATATATATATATATATATATATATATATATATATATATATATTGGCTTACAATTTATGTCACATTTTTTGATAAATAGAATAATCGTTTCAGAATTTCATTCTAAGATGTAATTGCTTATGCATATCTATACATTTAGAACTCCCTTTAAAATTAGTCTGAACTTTTTAAGTCTCTGTTTTATGCAGATTAAAAAGGGCCTTTAATGTTTTTTCATACATATTCACTAAGATTTTTTCATGAAATCATGCAAATCTGACCTCAGTGAGACCGTTCGCTTTGAAACGAGACGTTCTAAAATTGTTTTGAAATTGCTTGTTTGCTTGCGTAGATGGTTATTCTAAGGTGTAGCATAACATGGTGTCGTTGCATAACCTTGTGTCAATATGCATATATAAGTACAACATTTATTTTCATATATTCATGATATGTTTGCACTTTTTTTAAGACAACAGTCCTTAGTTTTGTATAATATTTTAAGGTATTATTATGCACATTTTTATTAAAATAATTACTTATTTTTGATAGACAGATGAATGTTTTTTTTTTTTTTAATATTATTAACTTACTTTTTTGTCTGCTATTTTGTATGCATAGATGGAGGAAAGCTAATAAAATATATCATTCTAAATTCCGGAATACAACTGCGAAAATCGCGTCCAATTTGATGCAGTAGATATTACGTGATGCTGGAATAAGCATACAGATAGATAGGCAGACAACATTTCTAAAAATATTATTTTGGATTCTATAGCTTTCGTTAAAACCCCTTATATATTTTTTTCTTAAATATCTCCTATGTACAAACATGTTTAGGTTACAGTTTTATTATATTAGAATAGTTAAATATGGATTGACTGCAAGTGTATGTGTTTTTAATATCAATTTTTGGGTATAAATAAGACTCAATCCAGATCAGCTTACATTAAATTCTGATTGTAGTTGAGTTTCGACTCAGAGTTTATAAATAAAAAATATATTTTAAAAAAAGAATACTTTTGCTCAAATGAATTTGTTTCGTTTTTCGTACAAGTAAGTTACGTATGTATCAACGGGGTTAGATCTAGGAACGCACCAGCTGAACAAATATCCAAAAAAGACGTACAATAATTGTAATCTAACATGAAATAAAGGTCGGTAAATGTTTATTCTTACCCAATGCGGTAAAGTAACTAAATCTGACCCCGATTATTAGTAGTTGTACATTTATTTATATTGCATGACTTTTTTATTTAATTGTCAAAATACAAAATACTAGCTACACACAACCATTTTAATAAGTGGCTAATATTACTGGTGGCACAATAAATATTGTTTTACATATATATTACTTTTTGCTTTATTTCTACTGACTTCAAAAAAACAAGCATCTTAATTTGGTTGTATTATTTATCAGCCATAAACCGATTTGGAAAACTATTTTTTTATTATCTAAAGTAGAATATCCTACTTACAGATTTGTTCCATAAGAATTTTTATCACAATCGGTTCAGTTGTTTAGTTTTTAAATTAAAATAACTGATTGTTTTCTCCAATTGAAGACCATTTTGTGGAACACAATTGTTTATTGAATTCTTACGTATATATCTACCATTGACATATACATACACACATATATATATATACATATATTTAAAACATGTATTTACACACATAAAAATGTATATTCAATTTAAAACAAGTTACGAGCGATTAGCGATTTCTTTTTAATTTCTACTACAGAACATAACAGGATAATTAAAGAAATACTTTAAAACACCAAATAAGTCGGATAATAATAACATTCTGCATAGCATTTATAAATTTATTAAAATACATTTTATGCAATTTTTTTAATCATTTTCCTAATATTGAAATGAACTAAGTTTATTTACAATCTTAAAATTAATAACATAGTAACATAGCCACGTAGGTTTTGCACCTGTTTAATTGCCTTAAGCGATATAGGCGTGCGGCGAATTTTATATTAATATAATGATAGGATTTTATATTATTTAATTTATCATTACGTATTAAAAATTGATATTGTCACATTACTATACATCATGTCACTAATATAACTTATACAGTATAAGTTATACTTGAAATGACAATATAGAAAAACAGTAATAAAAGTTTTTCAATACAATAGTTTAGTTTCTTTTACAATATTTTGTAAGCAACGATAACTGCTGAGTTTGCCTCGTCATTTCTTCACTACAATGGTATTATTATAAAGCTTATTGCATTTACATAAAGAATCCGGATACAACCCGACCGGGTCGCTAAATCTTCGAGCAAAACCCGGATATAATTTGGCAAGCATTTTTCTAAGAGTTGATTTACGTATCTATAACTTATGATATAATCTTACAGCTGTCTTATGAATGTTTCTACAAAACGTATTTGTTATTTTTATTCAACAATAAAAAAAATAGATACTCTGGTAGTTACTGTTATAGGATGTTTTTTCAATAAGTAACATATATATCAACCAGGTAAATGCAGGCGCCTAGTGGGGAAAATTCTTAGAATGGCAAAAAAAAGCATAAGAATTTGACCGGCACTTGGCTAATCAAAAGACACAAAATTTGTTTTTGTGTGGAGCGGCTTAATTACTTGATCAGGAACCGTATATGATGAGATAAATAATTAAAAATAAAACTCTCACTCCTATTAATTGCACCAAACGTTTTCCATTTATTACTTTTAGCTACAAATATTTGCTTTTATGTTTCATTTTATCTGTTATACATAGATATGTGCTGTACATTAAAAACCTTTAGCTTTTCGTGTTGTGTATGAGACAAGATTTAAGATTATAATAATATTGCATGATATTAGTAGATATTGTTACGTATTTTAGTAATAACAACTTAGTATCCAGTTTGTAATATATCTAACTTATTAAACCATTCTTAACCGCCGTTCCAATTTGGAAACACTTAACCATTGCGGGTAGGTGAAAAAAATATTGACCATAACAAAAATTATGTTACTCTATTCCATAATCGATGGTATGTTAGTTGAAGATATAAAAATTATTTTGTATAAAAACTGTAAAATTTTTCGTTTTATTTGAGTGAAATTTGTTAAAATATGAAGTAGGGAAGTAAATGTTCTTTTTTGCAACTATTATATTATATGGGTAATGGATGACCTGATTATGATCTACGTTATTACTAATTTAGTAAATAATAAAACATATGCAAATATTTTAAAGAAATTATACTAAATATGTAAAATTCCAAATGGATTGGTGTGTTGTATTGGCATTGGTGTGATTGGCAATTTGAATGCAGCGGCCACGAGTAAACTAAAATAATTTACGTTTGGAATATCAAGATAAATACAAAATGAAATTTACGTGACACCTTATACTTATCAGGGATTAGAGGAAGTTATAAATGCGATACTGAACAATAATGATGATGATTTGAACCATTATTTAATAAAATCCTGCCATTGGTGCTAGCCAAAGCAGTTTAGCAGTATTTTGAAAGAGATTTTAAATACTATCAAGTTTACCAAAAAGATCCCTGGAAATGTAGAGATATATTTTATAAATTATGTAATTAATAACAGTGATGATGAGTTACTATCTGCTAAAAGAATGTGATTGAACTCACAATAATGTCACCACAATCCAAAGAGTCTAGAAGAACTCGCTAGTCTTACGCCGGCAATTATTGTAGGTTTACTATTCAAATAAAATTAAAATATTCTTCATAAATATCCATTTAGAAAGAAAGAAAGTGCATAAGGACTTAAAAATGAAGCTAATGGCTAAGTAGATAGAAATATGATAATTAGAGGTGCCCTATACACGAATAGCACCATGGTCAGACGCCCCTTTATACGAATGTTGCCATTCTGAAGACTGAAATGTTTTGCCTCAGTACACAGTAATTTGACTTGTGACTTGAAAGATATCTGGAACATTCAGCACCACTGTAGAATTGGCTGATCCGTGACAGAAACTTCTGAAAAATCTTATTCGTGTATTATAGATATAGTATTATGATGATGTCAAGTACGTTATATACGTGAAAATCAATCCCTAAAAATAGCAGACAATGAATCAATTTATTATTTCGGTATAATATAATCATATTTTATATCAAATGATAATTCCAAAGGTAGAAAATTCGTCAATCATCATCTATCAACCGAGATTTTTGGATGTTGCTTACTACTTTATTGATAAATTTTCATAATATGTAAAATGTAATAAGCATAAGTCATTGGGGTAGTAAAAATAAAAAGAAACTATAAAGAAAAATATTGCATTGAAAATTTTCATTGTTGTGGCTACTGTGCTATTTTGGACCCACTCCTATAATTTCCTTGAAATTTAATAAAACATTTTTTCTTATTTTACATTTTTGTACCTATAATTATAAATACATTGAAGAAACTTGGAGCTTCAAATGGGTTATTCGACCCTCTTACCTGTAACCAATACACACGTTCGTATAATTGTATAACCATGGGCGGCGGTAGTCACTTACCATCAGGTGAGCCGCATGCACGTTTGCCCCCTGTGTTGTAAAAAAAATCTTGTTAGCAGATAATTTATAAAACATTTCATTTTGTATAAATGTGACTTCAATCATTAATTACCTACCGAATAAACATATTTTACCATATTTTATATTATCTTATCTTAATAATTAAAAAAAAAAACTGTAACTAGACGATGTCTGTGCATGAAGGATATTTAATGAATAGGATAGAAAGCAATAGATGCCATATAATATTTTTTGAAAATTTTGTGTGTCTGTATGTTTGTTCCGGCATCACTTAAAAACTACCTCACCAAAATGGATGCGATCTTCGTAGACGTGTCCCTTAAGGTCTAACTTACAATCTGATGTTTTATCTTGATACGGCATCTAGAAGTAGAAATTTTGCTAGTTCTAAGGTAGACGCGTACGCAATAGCGAGCAAAAACCTAGTAATTAATAAAATTTGAATAAATAAAACAATTTTCAAATAAGAATCAGATTAGATCTATAAATAAATGGAATAAAATTTAAATACTTATTGTCTAGAACAAAAGAATTTAGTTATATAAACTCAATCGACAATTTTTTTTAATGTAAATTACCATATTTATTTTCGTACTTACTTAACAATCTATGTTATTAAATATGCCTCAAAGTTTTTTTAATAAAAATAAAACTCTATAGTGACTATTCTATTTCACTTCCTATACCGCAATATGCGTTTGATAAATATTTAATATAATTTCATGAAATTTACAGTGAAAAACGTGCTCTCGATCTTGGTCTCAGCCGTGGTTACTCCGGTGCCCTCCAAGCCAAGCATCTGATGGGACTGGCCGCTGCCAACTTCGCTGGTGGCCCCGGCAGGAGGCGACGGGACGGGTTCTAAAGTCTACAATTTAATTAGAGGCATCCTTCAATCATTATGTAGTATCGGCTTAAAAAAAAGCAGTAAATGCCTCATATCATCACCTTTTGGCTGGTTAAATGTACATCCTTGCAGCGAGCAATATTGTTTATTAATTGCTAAAAAAGATGGCCTTTTTTTAGATGCTTTTTAAGCGATTTCCTCAATTTTTTTCATGTAACATCATGTTATAAATTTTATTACAATTGTCTGATTTTGTTAAGCATTACTATATAACATTTTAAATGTCCTACCAATTACTTTAATAGATCTCATATTATTTGACTGATTTTCTTTTAAATATATGACTGATTTAATTATTATATTAAAAGTCTGACTTTATACGCCAAAAACATCAAACCCATTGTCGACATATAAATAATGATATATTTTTCTTAATATAAGACGCTTATAAATAAGTAATTAAATTCTTTCTTAAATAGTATCAGTATTTAGATAACAGTATTAAAATTAAATACACCATGCATATTATAAAATTGTCATAAGGAACGACGTAAAATATCAACGCTTAAAATGGAATTAGATTGTACCTAATGATCAGCTATCCGTTCATAAATAAATGTCTATAGACAGTGTTAATATTTCTATGAATGTATGTGAAATTTATCTAGTCTATAGTGAAATAAGTGAAAAGATACCTCCTGTCTAGAGTTTATTGTTAAAAATAAAGAGATATTCATATTAATCTGTGTTTAATTTGTAAACTATGCTTTTTTTAATACTAGGACAGAACATTCATTATTATCATCATACCAGCCTTTAACTGTCCACTGCTGAACATAAGCGTCCCCCTTGGGGGGTTTTGCCAGTAGTTGCCATGCTTGGCAGGCGTATTGGCAACTGCAGTTAGGCTTTATAGATGTTTTAAAAGGCTGCTGTGGTCCCTCGCCCTACCTTAGTCCACTCTGACGACACCCACGGGAAAGGAAGGGGTGGCCTATTCTATACCGGGACCACACGATTGAAATCATCGTGGTTAATTTTTTAATTCATCACGATGGGCTAACTGACTTGCTTTCATCTTCACCCATCATCCTTCACTGGTACTCTGCCAGGATATACCGATAGCACAGACAGGGCAGCCACTTGAATTTCATTTTTGAAAAAATATAATATGCCGGGGACGGAACGACATTGTGAGTCAAAAAAACTATATTAACAACTATTTTTCATATACTTTTTGCCGTTAAAATCTTAATTTTCAATGATAGCATAATAAGAATAATATTACAATACATACATAATGTCTTAGCTTGAAATCAGATCACATTCGTGTTTCAACCGTGAAGCAGCTGTGTTTGCATGACTGTGTTTCGGTTTGAAGGGTGGGATATGGCGTGAATTTACTGGGTACAGAGGAATAACACGTGAGTCCTCAGGAATGGCAACGCATGGGGGGTATCATGGGTGAAACAGTATACTCTGTTATGTCCATGCTACTGCTCATGTCTATAGGTGACGGTTACCACTTTCCATCAGGTGGACCGTCAGCTTGTTTGCCATTCTAAGTTGTATAAAAAAAAAAAAACCTTTTTAATAACCAATTAGAAATATTGAAAATTGTTTAATTGCTCTTCTCTCTTTCTATTCTCTCTCTCTCCCTAATCACACGGTTTCTTACTCTAACTAGAAAGAAGTATGGACTGAAAGACGATGTAGTAACAAAAATCGAAAAAGAAATGTGTTGGTTTGGCCATTTGGAGAGGATGGATGAAAGAAGAATTAGGAAAGAGATTTATCGAGCAAGAATTAATGGAGTGTCGGTAGGGGCCGCCCTAGACTGACGTATGTCGATCAAATAAGTGACGTGCTGAAGAAGGACTAAATTAAAGGTACCAGTAACCGGCAAACGTGTATGAAAAGATTGATGAATGTAGAAGAAGCAAAAGAGGTTTGTTTGAATCGAAGTATTTAGCGTTCCACTGTTTCTGTTTACTCTAATGGGAGACAGGCGTGACAGATATGTAAGTATGTATGATGTTTAATTCATTTTGAGAATTGATAGATAATTGTGACGTTACTACATTGCGGTAAGCTTTGGTATGAAAAAAAATTAAATTCATTTAAATTGACAGACATTTATTGTTTGGTATTATTCAATACATAAATATGTAAGCCAGGACTGCCTCCCATTGGAATAGGCGGAAACAATAAAACGCCAAATGCTTCCATGCAAACAGACTTTCGTTCAATGTATTTATGTATGTACGAATAGGTACTATAGTATTGTAACTATTTATATAAGACTAGCAATCCGACCCGGCTTCGCACGGGTGGGCATTCTTTAGATTGATATAACTTTTTTATTTATGAACCGATTGAAGTAAACTGTAAATGTTAAGTGGAGCAAACCGCATCGCATTAGTGAAAAACGCATTCAAATCGGTTAAGCCGTTTTTGACGTACGGACAAGCAGACAAAAATTCCAAATAAAAATTCTTAAAAAAATCTTAAGAATCCTTTAAAATTCAAGTTACTTAAGTATTGTATTAAGTAATGTATTAACTAATTTATTATTTGATTGCGGTCCAACATGTCGCTTTTTACCTATTAACATGTTTGTAAGTTGTCAACCGTTGAAATGAAACTAAACTGGCCTATTGTAATAAATTCATCATGAATTAACCAATTTGATAATAATTTCAAGGGGAACCACGAGGTTTATTTATTTCTTATTGCATTCCATAATGTGATTGGTTGATAACATTTCAACTTCAATTATGGACCCTGTTGAGCACAACAAGTAGGAGAAAGAAGGACAACCCTTTTGTTTACTTTATAAATAGTTTAAGATTCTGTTGATAAGGCTCTGTTGACATCTGTCAGAACGTATTACTAGCAAAGGGGCTGATGGTCCCCATTATTAACAATCCCTTTCACACAGTGATTACGCGATATAGAAAGGTTTATTTCGACATTCTAATTCATGAGTAGGTATTATTGATCTCGAATTTGTAATATACGAGTATTTGTGGAAAATGTTGGTGAAATGTTTTCTACGTTCATAAGAATTTATCATTGTTTAGATACAATTTGAACATGGGAATAAAGAGACGGATTCATTTATTTTTCGTAGATGCGACATCTACATTTCTTATTGTAAATTATTATGTTCAACATATTAAAAACGCCATCTAATAATAATGTAATGAAATATTTTAAAATGACTCTACTATTGTCACTAGCGCCATCCATTATTTTTTTAGGACACTACGAATGGAAGCATTCTTTTCCAATTAAAGCAAATTTGTTTATCAAACAATTCAGTAGATGTCGACACATGCATCAATCTTTTTTCAATGGGAATTATTCTTCTAAAAATATTTGTTACTCTATTACTACATATTATTATTATAATGTACTATTATTATAAAAATAACGATACTAACACGAAAAATAAAATATAAACATACGACATGTTATGTAACAGTTTGTATGTGTAGTACCTAGTTACATATTGTTCTAATTTTGGAAATACTGCAAAGCACAAATAGATTTGGTATAATGATTTAAAACACCTATACTGTAATTGTAAAAGAGATTTTTTTTTTAAGAAATTTATTATTATATTTTTTATTTCAATTAGAATTTTATTTATTTTAATAGATAGAGATTAAATTTTTAAGACCGTAAAATATCTCCCATATGGTCTAGTGGCTAGGATACCTGGCTTTCACCCAGGAGGCTCGGGTTCGATTCCCGGTATGGGAAAGTCCCATTTTGCGCAAATTAACTTATTTTTGTTTTATAAAGGGTTCCTGTGTTTAAAGCATATACACTGCCTCTAAACCATGAAGGTGACATGACAAAAATGAAGTAACTAGTCCAATTTATCCAATAACAATAACAATCTATACACAGTTTCTTAGCCTTCAAATGTTCTAATCTAAAAGCAGGGGAGATTCCAAGTTAAAATGGATAGTAGGTACCTGTGTTTAACGATGCTTGTGTTTGTTCACATGGTTGCCTTTAGATTTTTCAACATGGCCGAACCTACAGATACTATTAATAGTCCGCTGTTGTTACTATTTTGGTCTACACAAAGGGATTGGAACTGGTATTTACAATACTAGTAGTTTTACTTAAATAACAGAATAATTTACGTCGTTTGGCGTGTATTTTATTTTTAAATCGACTTGGCAATAAAGAGTTTTTATTACCTGTAGACAATAGAGTAGAAAATTTTGAGATATTGTGTATTTGATATATATACACAGTATTTAATCTAAGGGAAAAGGGTGGAAAGGGATTGTTAGTAATGGAGACTGAGAATCCCATTGCTAGCAATATACCCAACCAGGTCGACCTCCTCGCGGTTCCCCCTGGAAACTATCATGGTTAATTCCTGATAAATTCATCATGAGGGGCTAACTGGCCTGTTTTCATTCTCATCTATCACCCTTCACTGGTGCTCCGCCAGCGTATTCCGTTAGCGCAGGCGGGGTTACCATACCATTTTCACCCATCAAAAAAAATCTAAGGGAAAATTTATATTAATTGATAGATTACTATTATTCATAATCTTTAAAGAAATATTTTTTTTGTGTAAAACTATAGATATTCAGTATTTCTTAATACGTCAAACAATGTGTATATTAAACGCGTGAGCGAATATCATAAATTCCTTGGTATTTTAAGATTTCATGACTTAATTATTTATAATAGTTTGTTTATTTATTAAATACAAACAGTGGCGTAACTATACCATCTGAGGCCCGTGGTAAATTTATCGGATGGGGCCCTCTCTTTATCTAAAAAAGCTCGATGTTTTAGTTTCAATTTGGGATTGACCCCTTTCAATGACTTCAAAAAGAAGCAGATTCTCAATTCGGTTGTATTTTTTATGTTTGTTACCTCATAACTCCGTCAGTTTTAAACTAGTTGATTTTTTTTTTATTTACCTTCTGTCTTAGATTATATAGATATAGTGTCTCCATACAAATGCTTCGAGAAAAGCGGGTCAACTTTTTTATATAGTTTTGCGTGATAAATAATTATGAGTGATTCCTTTATAACTTTTGGTATTTATTGTATTAGAAATTCTGCACCTTTTTATTGCGTAGAAACTTGCTACATATACTTACGGAAACAATGTATGTTGAAGTACCTATATTAAATTATTTAATAAATAAAGTGAATTTCTACGCATTAAAAATAAAAACAACTAAATCAGCTAATTTGACAATTAGCTGACAAAAAGTTAACTCGTTTTTGAGGCTCGATGCTCTATCTATTTAATCTATCTCATGGATATACTAACAGATTGTTCCTATAGATTTTTTTTTTCCAAAATCGGATTAGTAGTTTAGTTCTTAAATCAAAATAATTGATTTTACCACAATTGAAGTCGGTTTTTTTTCTTGTGGGACACAATCTTCTCAATGGATGAAAATGATGTAGTGACCCCGCCTGCACTATCGGTTTACACTGGCGGGGCACCAGCGAGGGATGATAGGTGAGGATGTACGCGGAGAAATGAACGTTAGACCATCGCAATTTTAATTTGAAAATTTATCTTTTAATTTGAAGTTATTATAATAGCATGATACAAATAATAGACTTCAGCTACCCGCTAACAACATGCTTTCTATGTGCATTGGGTTGACTGGAAGAGATATCTGTCAGAGAGAAGTCCACCCTTGCTCACAATATTTATAAATGCATTAACAATGTAATTTTCAAGTG